TCCCCCCACCCCTCACAGAAAAACACCACACAGAAAAACAAGACAAAACCCAGAAGGGAAACAAAGAGGTAGACGTAACTACAACCATGGCGCTGTTTTGGAAATTGTGCAAGATGTCTTACTATGCTCCAAGGAGTTTGTTTTTTCTGTGTTCTACGTTGCAGTACGACGCACCAGCAGTTCACACGACAGGCGACAGGGAGCTAAGAGCTGTCCTTAGCGAGAGGTGCCAGGGCCACAGAATGAACAGTGCTGTTCCACTCGGTATTGCTTTGCCTAGCGGAAGTTGTTTAAAAACAGACCACTCTGTTAAAAAAATATATGTATCTACAAAATGATTACAGCCTTGCTCAAAAAAAATGTTGGATTTACATCTTTTTAGGATGGCAGCAATCCAGGCTCAGTGGGGGCCCAGGTCCTGCTCTTGGCGTGCCCCCAACTCTCAGAAACTTCAAGGGGAATCACTGCGATGCAGGGACCTGCGGAGAAACTCTGCAGCCTGAGCGCCGGCACGGTTTCCAAGGGGTGCTGGAGTGAGTGAGGGCTGCAGAAGCTGCTTTCCCCCCCTCCTCCCTACTGCTCCACTCCTCCCCTTACCACTTCTGGCATAGAAACGTTTGTCTCTGTGTCCTTCCTCATGAACGCTCTAATAAGCAACATCATCTATCACAAATTAACACTGCAGCTGTAGAGTAAACCACAGTGTTATTTTACTATTTTTTGTGGTTATGGTAAGCAAAACAGAGATTGTGTATCTATTTGATATAAGCACAATAAATACAACCAAAGAAAATAATCTCATCTATTAAGGATTAGAAGCACATGAAATAATCTTGAAAAAAAAAAGAAATCAACTTTATTTTTGCCACACACACACAAAAAAAAAAGGGAAAAGACACCTAATAATCTGTGTAGAGAAATGCTGCTTCTGGTATCTGTCTACATTTCTGAAAGACATCTTGGCTGCTGGAAAGATTTGATAAAAAAACCCGAATGAAATAAATTCAGTAAAATAATTCCAAACATGACCAGCCCTTTGCAAAATCACTGAAAGCTGCTACAGGCTTCTGCATCCATTTTATCATACAAACCAAAAAAAACCCAAACCAGGTAACACAGGCAACAAGGAGAAAACTGGAGGTGAAAATAACTAGTATCAAGAAAACTTAATTTCTATCATACAAAATGAACACCATTGTAGAGTAATTTTAAGGAACTAACTTATTTTAATAGGACAGTTGTTCAGTGTGTAATTACTTTGTTATCCAATGATAAAATAAAAGGTTTAACTTTAAAATGCACAGAATCCTTTTAAAGATTTCTTTTGTATCACAGCCAAGTAGTCCACAGTTTTTACAGAGAAAAAATAAAGCTGCTCAGAAGTGTTCATAATGTATGCAGACATTTTAAACTAGAGTATGGTTTCAATTTTCCTCTTCCAATTGTTCTTTTTTTTTAAAAAAGTGTAAAAACTATCAAATATGCAATTCTGCAAAATAACCCTTTATTTCATATGGCTCCATTATTTCCAAACAATACAGTACCCCAGATGTATAATTATTTTGTGTGATTGCATCAGATCACCACAAAATCTCCAGCTGACTATCAAGAGAATGCACCCAATCCCGGTCTCATGATTTGGAAATCCCAGTTTTATATACCTTTGGTCCCAAAAATTTTATGTCAAGGCAAAGTGGAGCAGTTGAATCCTGTCACACACAGTGATCGGTATCTGTATTATCTTGTACAAACAGGTGAAAAAAGTTAACAGCACTTTATGGCAGTGTCAGACAGAAAAAAAAACCCCAGTTACATCATTTGCAAAACAAGTGAATAATGAACAGTACCACAGTGATCATTGTATTTTGACTGCAGTAAGATGCATCTTACTTTTGATGTTGAGGGTGGAGGAGGGAGAAGGATGCTTTTAATTTTCCAGTGAGCACGGTACATCGAAATTTTGCTTTTCAAAATCTGATGAGAGCAACTTAAAAAAACCTGAAACCCTCCTGCAAGAGACATCTTTGTTGAAAAGCTGGATAGAACTGTACAGAGGCTACTAGAGAACCCGTAAGGAAGGCGCACTCACCAAAGGGCACTGAAGAAACCACCGCTCCTTGTGAATGGGCAGATACTCTTCATGTCATGGGATCTGAAGAGCAGTAATGCTAAACTATGGGGACTTACATCGCTGCAACTGTAACAACTTGTTTTTGAACAATTAAGCATGGAAACATACAGATGTTTTGTGTGCAGCCCTGGCAGAGAACCACCTTCATTCACCATACACTTGAATTGCTATGGCTCACTTCTGTGTGCAACAGCTTGCAGTCAGGGTTTTTTCCTGTGCATTTGTCATTCTTTATCACTTTATACATTCTTCCATTACATTTCCCCTAATATAAATTCAAAGTTACATTAATTAACCATTTTGTGATCAACTCTATGGTTCATTAACACCATTTTCTATCAAACACATTTTGAACTCTTCAGAAGAGGAAGCCCATGGATGGTGCAGTGAAATGCCCACTACAACTGTAATGCTGGCCAACTGCCAGAAGGTTGAACCAAACTGCAACCGACAGGAATTTACATTTTACAAACTAGCCTGCTAAGATCCAAACAGTCTTGACCAAGCACAGTATTTTTAGCACAGAATTTCCTCTATATTGTATCCATTTTATGTTTTTCTCTTAACAGAAAAATGTCTTTTATCCAATTTATTCTCTTTCACGAAGCAGCATCCAAATTCATGCTGGGAGGGTACTCTGAAGTTTCCTACCAACAGTTTCATTCCTCTGTCACCTACAGCAACTCAGCCGTAAGGAGACACAACGTCAGGTGCTCTTCACATTTTTCAGTGCAGGCAGGAAAGAAGCCTAAGACCTAATACTATTTACTCACCCTACCAAAACAACAATCAGTGCTTGAAAACAAACGTCTTGCAATAGTAAGAACTACAGAGGAACAAACCAAAAGTGAACAGGATCAGATAAATCCAATTATTATCTGAAACATTATTGTGCATTACTAATTTCTTTAGGCAGCATGTTAACGCTCACTATTTATTGACTGCAATCCACTGGAACAAAAATGTACTGCATTTGAAAAAACAGGATGCTCTGACATGGAGTTCACAGGGTCTATAAAGAACAACCTCCTGATGCGAGTTACTGCTGTGCAGTCTGTTTAGAGAAACTTCCCTTTTTGTATCACTCCAGTCTGTCCTAGCTCAAAATAAAAGCAGCAGTGCTATGGGCATCGCGGTGGTTCTGACCAAACCACCTGGTGGAGGACAGAAGTGAGTAGCTTCTGATCTGCATTTTTAAGAGTCCGTTAATGCCCACGTGCTGCAGACATAACCACTTACACGGTAACGGTGCTGGGCTGCCCCAACACCCTCCTGTAAAATGGCAGATTAAATACATTCATTCCATCAGCTGTACTTTAGCAAGAGCAACAGGAGAAAATAAAAGAAAAACTCCCAGGACTGCCTCCCTTTCAGGGCACACCTCTTTTTAAATGGATTTTACGCTACACCAGAATTCAGGTGTGTGACTGGATGTGAAGAGATGGGATTCAGAGACGGTATCTTACCTAAAACGATAAGCTGTAGGCAAACGCTGTCCTTTGCCTCTTGGCTGTACTGGTTCTTTTAAGTCAATGAGGTGACCCACAGTTCAGGAGAACTTACTATGGTGTATCATTTTGCAATTATCCCACTGAGCTACCTTAGGATAAAACTACTGCTTTTGGGGGATGGGGGTGGCATATTTGACTAGGTATTTTTCCATTAAGTCAGGGAAATTGGCATTGGCTCATATTTTGGTAAGCTTTTAGCTCCCCTCCAGAGGAACCACTGGCTAGGTTTTGTATTCTGCACACCACCCGCTGCGATTCATGTAGCAGGGGAGGGAGAGAGAAGGGCGATCAATATTGCTAACTCGGAGCCAAAACTACTGAGGGCTTACTTTGTTCTCAGTAAAATTACTCTGTACAAGGCAGCATGCCAACATCTGAAGTTCCAGCTATCCTGCTTGTATTTAGAGAGATTAGTTTTATTTTAGGAACAGCTCTCCCAAATCTGTGTATAATCACATAAACACAATGCCAAATAGACCTGCCAGAAGTAAGACCGTACGTCATCAACATCCTTTCAAAAAAGTATCCTATGTCACACTTCTGACAGCGTCTTCTGTTCGTTTGCCTTTAAATTCAACTCATCCTTCTTCCAAGAAGATTTTAGCACAGTGGTGAGCTAATTAATACTGCCCTCCATGTAGTTATCCAGAGCATTTACCACTTTTTTTTTTTTTTTTGCAGTAGTATCTCCCTATAGATTTATAACAGCAATTATACCTACTTTTTCTTTTTAAGAAACTATTTTTTTTTTTCTATTATTCCTTAGCAAAACATGAAGATGGTTGGCATTGAATTATTCAAACTCTCCCACAAGTATATTTAGCGCTGTTGCAACTAGCGGGGGAGAACAAGGCCTCTATAAACCACTCAAAGGTCACCTTGGTTGGACTGGAGTATACAAAATACAAAGGTGACTAAAAATCACCAGCAGCACCAGCAGACCTTCAGAAACAGCTAGAGTTGCTCTGGCTTCCAATGTGTGACAGATAAAGCTTTCCCCTGTTCCTTAAGTTTTATGTCTTCCTTCACTGTATTTTCACCTTTAAAAGTGCATTTTGAAAACTGATAATGATCATTGAGATGCATTCTGAACACAAAGGGAAAATAAACCAAGTGACTTTATATTTTTCAAGTCTCCTCATAATACAAGATACTGGTAGCACGTGGAATTCGGAGAGCTGATGGTAAGACCACAGCAGGCATGGGCTGATTCATCAAATGTGGACAGCTTTTAATCACACCATGATGCTGCAACGCTTTTTTGAGGACTGATACCTCACGAAACACACCCGATGCTGGATCTTATATTGGGTCTTGGTTTTAGATCAATGTGTCTAATACAACAACTGCTGACTGCGTAGCCGCAAAGATACTGCCACCAGCTCTGTCGAGTATCTTTGACTCCAGCACAATGAGTTGCAATAAAGTACAAGTTGTGCAAATGAGGAACCTCTACCACACCAACGCTGTACAGACTACTGAAGAGACAAGTTGCTGAATTTTCTGAGCTCTAACTACAATGCCAACAAATACTTGTGGTGACAGAGCTTTCTTGTCACAGACATTCTTCTACGGTGGTTGTACGATTGCACCTTTTGTCCAAACGCGGAATTTGCTTAAGTGTGGGTGAGAGTATACATTTTTAAAAATACAGACATTTCTTAAAATAATACATCATCAGGTCACTATGTTACTGATCTTCACTTTTAGCGGAGTTTAAAATTTCCCCAAAGAGGGGTAAGAGTCTGTCCAGTATTTTCCTTTACTCTTGAATATTCACATTTGCACATACAACATGATACTCATTTGCAAGAGCCTGGTTTCCCATTGTGTCCTCAGGTCCCATTCCACTTTTAAAATAGGCAATGATAAAAATACTGAAAGATGCAGTACCACATACCGCCTGACAAAAACGCAAGTGATTGTATGCCGACTAACCACAGGTTGCTGAGGGTCATCTCCCGAGAAATAGCTTTTGTCTGACCCTGCAGTGGAGGAAAAGCTCCTAAAAGAGAAAAGAAAACACATTTAATGCTTCTGCAGCAGGAACGACAGCCGTAATGAAGGATTCTTTACCATCACTGTTTGTCCCAGCAGTAGTGCCCACAAACAATTAACTGGTTACTGCTGCTGTTAAACTTTTGAAAGATTCTCCAGCATTATCAGTTATCTTCAAGAAAATAAAAAACCAACCCTTTGCTGTATTATTAAGAACAATTTTCATTTAATTTGGATATAAACTTAAACTTTAAGCATAAACTTCAAAGCATTCCTTAAAAGCAGCCGTCCTCAAGCTTTGCAGGGAGATTTGACTGTCAACTAAGTTTTCTGTGTTATTTTTGAAGTTATGTTAATGTCCATATGATCAAATTGAATGGACTCCATATCAAACTTTATAGCTGTTTGGTAATGATCTTGCATACTGTGAAGAAGCAATACACATATGCTTTCAAGGTTCCCCTTTTATGTATGTACATATAGACACACACTTTTTTAAAAAAAACCCAATAGTTTCCATATGTTGTTTGAACACCCCTTGGCCAGTCAGTCACAGAGACTAAGGAAGCATGGTAATTTGCTATTTAGTTTTTCAGAAAGACTTTTTAAAAATGTCTGTTTAGATGAGAAAGACTGGCAGGAGATCCAGCTGACATGATTAAAAAAAATTCATTTTTCCCTATTTTGACCTTTTGTGACTTACAACACTAAATTGTATGTGCCTGAATACATCAGAGGTTTATGATCTTAAGCAAATAGTTGGCATAAGTTTACATCAGCCTATTAAATAACTTGCATTACATTTTACTGAGATACACAAAGCCTAGATGATGTGAACCACGTTTTTCTTGTTGTCGTTGTTAATCTTGAACAGTGGATATAAAAACTAAATGGGAAGAGAAGATAATGTACTTGCTGCAGGATTACAGAGTCACAGCTTCTCATAGAAGAACAAGAGATGAATGATTCAAAAAGACACAGCAGTGTCAATTCTGACTCTTAGAAACCCGACAATTTGGGCAATTAGATACCATCAGGAACTTCTCTCTATGCTTCACATCTGCAGTCAGTGGAGGAATTGCAATCAAGCATTTACGAAACAGCTTTTCTTCCTTTATGAACACTCTTAAATTAACCAAAATCTAAAAAACCCCCCAAAACTAAAGAAGAAAAAACAACAACAAAACAAACCCTTGACAAGTCCCATCCTCCTCTCGCTGATACATTTTTTCACACACAGGCAGATCTGTCACACTGTAATTCTCATCGCTAAGCTTCTGTTCCTCCACTCTACACTACAATTGTTCTTCCATGGCCCATTTGTTCTCCTGTGCCAACACTGACCTTCGGTTTACATAACTTTCCTTTTTCCTTGGTGCTGATAGCAGCTGTCTCTTCCCCCTCCTCCTCTCCCAAGCCAGCTTGTATCTTACAGAGAAAGTGATCCTTCAGTTTCCCAGCTGAGACAAGCCAAGCACTTTTAGTTGTCCTTCACAGAAATGACTCCTTCTTCCCCTTAATCACCTTAGCACCTATTATCTGTCCCTCTTCCCGGTTCAATTCATATTTCTTGAATGGGGATGATGGATCCATACACAGAATTTCCAGGTGAGGTTTCAGATCTGGTGCAATGAAGAGTATTTCCATAGCACTAGTGAAAATCCTCCCCTACGGCCCCGTAGGATGGCATCGCTTACTTTCTTAGTTACATCACACCCAGCTGGCTTATGATCAGAGTGAACGAGGAGCATGGCAACTTCAGTGCACAATTACTCATTTCCAACTGATGAGCTCCTAGTTTATAGGGGTTTTTTAAAATAGTCTCCAAGTGCTTTTGTCCTGCTAAATGTAATCTCATTTGTGTTACTGCAGTGCTCAAGGTTATCCTCCTGAAGACTTCAGAAAAATCATGAACTTGCCAATACAAGCTTTCTGCTAGCTGCTAAAATAGGAGTCTTTGTGTTGCATGTACCTACAGATATTAACTATAAATGATTTAAAATTTATAAATGAAACATGGAAAATGCACCTGTAAGAAAGGATGGGACTATTTAATATTCAAATTTTAGGCAGATACTTTTTTTTGTTTGTTTTTAAGAGGTCTACTATTACAGGCTTTCCTCAGATCCATTAATGTTCTTAACACTTAGGAATACAGCAAAAAGGAAAAAGATTTTTTAGACTTTGGTATTTCTTCTTCCCAAATAAAAATCTGCCAAAGTATGTGTTCCTACCGATGACATTGTCAATACAAACTTTTAAAGTTTCATGTAGCATTAAATGTTACTCCAGCTTTATGAAGTAAGCTTTATCAACTGAGATTAGTTCCTCCTAAGCAGTGTGTATTGGAAAAGAAAAAACAAAACCCCAAACCAAAACAAACCCTGAAGCAGTCCTAAGTCTTAAAAACACACCAACTTGGGACAAGGTAACAGGTCAATACAAAGCTAACTCTTGAGCAGCTTCAGGGATTCCCCTCACCTGAGGCCACAGGACTTTTCCAAGGGGTTTCCAAAATCAGTAACAGCACTTTTGCAGTAAGCCAACAAAAGCAATGCAAGCAAGTTCTCAACTGGCATAAATGGTGGTAACTTTAAATTATGCTAATTTATGCCTAATAAGGTTCATAGCATTTATATTTAAAACACATCTTATTAATTCATACTGATTACATTGGCAAATTATAACCAGTTACCCTATTTTGGAAGCAAATTTCAATGAATAAATCTGATTATATTCATTATACTCTGAAATTCCGGTCTAGTTAGACTTTTTGGGTATGACTGATTTTAATGGTATTTGTGAAATAACTTCTCCATAACAAGAATTCCTTACCTCCTTTTGACTACACTTGTAGTTTTAAACAGATTCACAAACTGTCTAATGAAATAAAAAATATGCATTTGGATGCAAATTATATAGCACGGTCATCATCACGGTCTGGTTTTTGCCATCAGTGATGGATGAGTGACAGCAGTATTTCACAAAGTAAAATACAACTCTGGGTTGTTAAAGGATTCTATTAATCTTTTTAAGCACTACCATTGATAAATTAAGCACTCAAAACCGAATTAAAGCAGTCTTTGCAATAAATCATCTAAGAGAAGTCACATCTTTGTTTAACATAGTCACTCTGGAATATTAAACTCAGTTCATTCAAGAGACTGAATATTTTTCCCCCCTCAACAACTGAGCTACTTGCTAATAATTCTATGATTTTTCTTCAGAGACAAGCTGCATTATCTCGTCTGGAGTCTTCCTACTCAGTCTATGTTTGATAAATTTCCCTTCCTGTATGTATAAATAAAACTCTATTTCTGCCCTTCTGGATTTTCTTTTTATTTATTTATTTATTTATTTTTGTGAATTCAACACACACGCACAGACAGACAGACACACACCCATGACATACTTCAGTACCAACTGGATGGAAGAAAAAGAGCTTTGAGGAAACTCTTTTCCAGCTATAGTTTCAAAGTATTTACCTGGTATTTTAAATCATGTTTGCCAGAATCCCCTCAGTAATGTTATTAATGCCCTAGATTTCTTTAGATTCCTCTGCTCCATTAACATTCCAAGTATATTATGATAGAAGTGATCCTCAGTACCTCGCAGCAGGGAGGCCAGTACTTGCAGCACAGGGCTGCAGATTAAGACTCCGGAGGCTTTATGCTCTGTAATTCTTACAGATCCTTCCAAACACAGCACCTTTCTGTTTAGTTTAACAGGAAACAGAAGAGGACCATGGTTTTGGATTAGACCTGCAGACTTAGATCAGTTTTCTCTAACAGTACAAGTGCCAGAGGAACATGTGAAATGGCTGCACTAAGCAGATAAAATAACCTGCCTCACCTAAGAGATTTATTTAATCCCTTTTAATCAATAACTCGCTCATTTTAAACACTGAAGGTTTTATATCCCCTCCAAACTTAACATATGCTCTGAATACTTTTACTGTTCATGTAAATCTTCACTACCTCTTTGAATCTTGCTAAATTATTCCAACTTACTGAAATACCCGGGCAGCAAGTTTCACAGCTGAACTATATGTTGTTGCGGAAAAAGGAGGATTTCCTCAGATCCTTTTTGAATGCACCAGCTTCCAAACATGACCCTACTCTAATGTTACCTGGGTAATTTACCTTTCCTAGATAATTTCTTAATCATACTTTTTTTTGCCACATAGAAAATATTGATAGTTATATCTATTGTATTTGTGTGAAGAATGTATGGTTCTTAAACCATTTTGAGATCCTTGTAAGAGAAGACATTAACAAAGCACAATTCTCTTTGCTACATATCATCCTACCTGTTTCATAGAAATGTGTCAAGAGATCCTCCTTTTCAATGAATCGTTCGTAGAGCCAGTGTGTCAGAGCTTCAGGCTCTGCAGGTACATCTTTAACTGGAAAAATCCTACCAAAGAAACAAACACAATTAAACCTAGGAAATGTATCTGTATGGGAAGAACAAAACTCCTTCCTCTGCCCCAGTCCACCCCAGAAAACAGAGAACAGGAGTTTGGTATAAATCTAACTGCATGGTTCATTCTCTCTCCAATTCAGAGGTCACATAGGTATTAAGGATACAAAACTGGAATATTCCAGGTTACCAGCCAGATGCACAGAGAAGACAAAGGCATTATTAGCTTCTGTCAAATGCTGTGCTACTAAGCTGCCATTTGTTTGGGGGTTTTTTTTAACTAGAATACCACCACACTATATGACTATCCTTAAAAAATACAAACCAAGAAGCTATGAAGTTCACGTACTGAAACTGACAGACATAAACGACTTGAGAAGGTTCATCCACAGTTTTGAAGAAACGGTTCTTCAACAGGCAGAAGCTACATAACATCACCACTAAGTACCAACAGCTCTTCTGTATCCCAGAAAACCAAGTCCTCTGCTTTTCAAAGGATGCCAGCATCTTTGTCTGAAATTTCTGACGCAGGTTTTACACTGAAAACCAACCATGCAAGGAAGTGTACTCAAATATTGCTGCTCCATTTTAAAAACCCCAATGGAACAATTACCGATGTTTTGGTACTTCTACAGCGAATACAAGGTCTACTTAGAAAATCAGACATCCAGGGCAGAATTCACTGATATACATACATTCAGAAATCCCCAAACAACCCACCATATCTCACTGGGTTTCTTTCAAAAGATAATTTCAAGTCCTATAGTAACTGTAAAATCCCATCAGTAGATGTTAAGTGCCTTTTGATATATACAATAATTTATGTATCTATCTGCTGTGTTTCACTGGGAGGCCGATGCAGAAGAGATCTGTGTATCAGTCTAGCCTGAAAAATTCATACTCTGAAATGTTAGATCTTTACTGTAGGTTTTTTTCAGGTGAGCTCATGTTTATCCTGTCATCTACACCATGCTTCGATTTTCATTAGTGGATTTTTCATTTCTTTTTAAACACAGTCTTGATTGATTATACTGAAAAGAATTTGAAGTAACACCACAATCATGTGGGAAGCGTCTGAACAGATATGGGAATGTCAGACTACAGAAATAGGACACTTCTGAAGAATGCTTTTGTTGCTGTTACTGCTTTCAACATCTTTGCTTGCTTTGCTGCAAAGTTATTTGTACCTCCTCCTTTCAGTTTGATGTGTAGAAAAATAAGCTGTAAGTGGAGGACAAAAGTAACAAAGCATTGTTCTAATGAGTGAATTAAAAATAACGGTGCTTTGGTACACAGAGATAACTTCAATATAAGGAGATGAACATTTTTATTTTCCAACTCTGGCATCAACATGAACTCAGCTATTTCTGTAGCCTTTGTAACAATTCTGCCTACATCTTTCTCACAGTGCGGAGTTCTCTGCGTTTTAATAAAGCCTGTGTCAGTAATTAGCAATGGTTATCTCAGGTAAAATACAGTTTGAAGAAAAGTCTTTGGCCAAAGACAAACATTAAATAGTTGGTGGTCCAGTAAGTAGCTCAAGTCCTCAGCATGCATACTAAGAAAAATGACAAAGACAGGTAATAAAGAACTACTTTATCTTGAAGCCCAGATTTTGTACAGCAGATTAAAATTAAACCACGCAGAGGTAAGTAAAAAAATCCACAAAGAAAGGACCATTTTTGTGGGGGGTAAGAAAGACTTAGACTCTGTCCCCAAACACAACTGAGTTGCCAAGCACTATTTTTACTCTCTTCTGCCTATCTGCTCTGAAGAGATAAAAGGACTCGGCAGCAGAATATTGTGTTTCGCAGTATATTTCTGAAGGACAGATGCTTGCTTACGCAAGTCTGAAGATGGTTCAGAACTAACAGAACGGGTGTGTGGGCTCAGGACAGAAGTTTAGGATTACCTGGCTTCACACACAGTTTCCATTGTGAGCTGCAGATATTCTTCTCCTCCGCCCTCACTTCTCAGTTACCTAATGGGTAACAACTCTACAGCTCAATAACCGAGGTAAGCCTGGTATTTTTCCAATAACGTACCTACTAGTCTGAAAACATTATCACAAGAGCTTACAAGATACTCATTAGAAACAATTTATGAGCTGGCACTTTAATGGAGTAGCAAAGTCGTGTAAGTGATACCATTATTGTGAGAGACTAATGGAACACTGCACACCACTTCCCTGCTTGAACCCATCCAGGCTCTTGTATCAATTAATACAGTGCCAGAATACTTGAATCTCTGAATTCTAAACTTCCTAGAAGTTTAAGAAGCAATCACCATTACATCCATTTTGAATGAATATTAATGCAGACTGGAAAACAACTGGTTTTCCAATAACGCTCCACTGGCTGTCACAATTTAGCAAAGGTGTCAGTGTATTTAGAAGCATTTTCAAATATACTTTTAGATTAACATTCTTATTAATGACTGTGCTAAATCAAGAGATTAAATGTTAAAAAAAACCCCCAAAACATTCCTTAAAACTCTGGAACAAGCCCCTCCTGTACTAGATAAAGTGAAGCTAAACCACCCCCTTGTATTTATACTAAACATACTGCCACTACCATCATTCTCTGCCCATCAGAGGGCTCCTTTAGCATCTGTTTTAAAAGAATATCCTCTTTAAGGAGACTGGATTCAAGAAACATAACTGAGAAAGTCTAATTTGCCAAAACTCTCTACACAGATGATCTAAAACAACAGTGGAAAGCCACTGCTCTAACTGGAGCAGGGTCATCCCCAACCCTCAGCTGCCAGGTCCATGGTTAAAAGATGCAGGCAATTGTTCCTTTGTTTCAATGAGCTATGTAAACAGCTGTCAATGTGGTCAGAGCTTGAAAACCATCTTGGCTCTACCCCATCTTTGGGTATCTAGCATCAAGAATGCCACTAAAAGAAAACAGTTTGCTGATCTCATCAGGAAAATAAAATGCTATCACCACACAGAACTGTCCTGACAAGGAACAAGGTCAACATGTAATATCTGAAGCTTCTAGATTGTCTTGGGCTCTTAAATCTTTCTAGCTTTTGGGCAAAATTAACCTCACATTGCATGAAAAGAAAAGTGTCTTTGTTCCTGGTGTGGCAAACAAGGAATTTAATAGCACTGGATATGGTAACTTGACCAGAAAATTAAAATGGAATGGAAATACTTCCTTGTCGCACTTCTCATCATGGGAACAGCTGCCTTGCTGTCATCAGAGGGAGGTGGGGAGGAGGCTAAACTTCAATAAAAGCAGTGCCAGCACAGGCTGTATGCTGAGAAGTTAAAAGTGGTGGTGGAAGTAAAGACATACAGTGATGGGAGTCTACAAAGCTGCCTGAGTAATGTAACGACAGCTTCTAGCTGGAGGTCACCTATCTGCACCTGCAAGGTGACAGTAGCCACGGGACACTCCACGTAGTTGACTGAGGGACAGCAACTTTCTTAAACTGCTACACAAATGTGTTTCTAAGTCCCAGACCAGAATATATCAGCATAAATGACAGTCCAGGAAAGAAGAAAAGGTTAAAAAAACTCGAGATGTGACTGCCAAAGACATGTTGGCATACATAAGAAATTGTGGAGACTTACCTACTGATAGGTCATTTCTCGAACAACGTCATTTTCAGAAACATTTAATCTCTCTTAAATGGTCCTTATTGGAGAAAGAACCTCTAATTCTGTATTAAAATTCTAAAGTTCATAGATACCACCTTTAAGTACTAATTGCCATTCATCATCTGCCCTACCATTAATTAAAAGTTCTTTATTACCCCTACACCTTCCAAATCATAATATTATTTACTGTTTCAATAACACTTTAAATAAACTCAGCATGACGGAGGCTGCTGGTAGACCTCAGGCAAGAGCAAAAAGAAGTTACGCGCATAGAAAAGCTTGTTAAATTATATCGCTAAACTGGATGCCCTTCAGAGACGTTTCTGCAGAACTCATTCAGCAACCACAATGTATTCCATCTTATTTATAGCTCCAACTCTAGTTTATTTCAATAAATCTGTATCAATGTAGACACAAAAAAAAAAGAACTTCCTCAGAAAGCTGGTTTCAGCCACCGCACGGAACACAAGCTGGTACGAGAAAGAAAGGTGACATAGTACTCGTCCGCATTACGGCACAAAGAGAGCTGAGCGTGCAGGAAACAGGGTGGCACTTCCATGCAGGATAAATGCAGCCATCCCCAGCTGGCTCTGGCTTCAGGGCCTCGACACCACAATCGCTATCACACACTGCAAACGCGGGAGATGGTCACACAAGGGTATGACCCAACAGGAAGCTAATGCAAAAACCCCAACCCCACACTGTTCTGGAGCGAGGGGGAGGTAAGCACTGAACAAACTTCATACCCAGGGTCTTTTCAGCTCTTGGGTTTTAACAACAGAACTGCAGCGCATGGGAAATCTTGCCATTAGAGAAACTTGGAGAACATCTGAGAAACACCAAGTCAGTCAGAATAAAGAAGTGACTGGTGTAAGAAGAAAATTAATAATCCCAAAAAATCTCACTGTGGGAGCTGAGAATAGTGGCCAGTATGCAGACTTGCCACACAAACACCAAACCACTCAGCTTATTTTCGCTGAGTGTACCTGCAGTGAATCTGGATTTATGGTCAATACATATCACAAAATGACCAAAGCATAAAGCTAAACCATTCTGAGAAGAGCCAACAAACCTTTCCAGCAGACTCATTAGAAAGCAGGTCTCATAGTGATGCTTCTAGTTAGAGATGCCTTGCACCTTCCAACCGTTGTTTTTGTTTTGGGTTTTTTTGTTGGTTTGGTTGTTGGGTGGGTTTTTTTGGTGCTTACTGCTTTAACAGATGGGTTGAAATTTCCCCCCAAAAATCCCAGTGCCATTTGACTTGGAAGAAGTTAATTAGATATTTTCCTTGAGTATTATGTTTCAGAGACCAAACCCAGTTTTTCAGCACTTTCCAAAGAATTTTGAGATAAGCCTGTCAGTGAAAAAATGATAAGTTCTCACACCTTCATGTTCTGAAGAATGTGAAATTTGGTAAATGTCCTTTTTTCTATAGAAGTGTCTTTTGACATCCCGGGGAAAATGAGGCCACAGCTTAGCCTAATTATGAACTTCTGAAAAACATGTCATTCGTATGGAAAATTCAAGTTTGAAAAGCAAGCTTCAACTCATTATCAAAATTGAGCTTTCAAACAAAAAAAAAGATTACTGGATTAAACTGAACCTTCTCTGCCATTTCCATCAGCTAGAAAACAATCTAAAAATGAAAACATAAAGCTGCTTGCTGTGTCCTCTACACTACTCTGTTGCTCCCTAAGTAGGATGAAAAAGAAATAATCCTGCAGTAAAAGGACAGGCTATGAGAAAAGGAGATTTGAAAGACTGTAAGGCAGAAAGAGACAGGTTGTGGCCAAGGGGAACAGCAGAAAGGACTGACTGAGCGACCAGAACAAAAAAGGCTCTGCAGTCTCCTCTGCTCCAGTTCGAGTAGCACGGTTTCCCCACTGCTGTCCTACATCAATACCTCACTCTAAAAGGGAGACTACTCTAAAAGGGAAAAAGCATGTTTAAATGAGATGGCATCTGGTCAAAACTATTCTTTACTTTTCCCAAAGGTTTTGTTTGTTTGGTTGGTTTTTGCTATAACTCAGTTGAAAGAAATGACAGGTGAGAAACTAGTGTGCTAGAGCACACAGACTAATGCAGAACTTTCTCTCTCCTCAATTATTTAAAAACTACCCTTAAAATTTATTTATTCCATTTATTTCAAATATAATTTCCCAAGACATTCCAAATTACAAACAACAAGCAAAATTTTATTGCACTAAATGAAGGAAAAGGGGGGAATAACCAAAATCCAGACATACTCGATATATATTTCATTAAAATTACAGAGGACATCTATGTCAAATGCAGAAAAGCAGAAACACTTGTGACATTTTCCATCTTTGGAAAACATTTCTGACATTTCCATCTTTTTAAAGATGAAGTCCAACAGTTGCAGATGAAATTAGACACCAGTAAATGCAAGGCAATGGACACTGGGGAAGGAAAAAAAAGCACCAGCAGCTACGCATACACTGCCATAGCCTCTAACATGAGCTATTATTACTCTGGTAAGTGATCCTGAAATCACTGGGGGGAATTCAGGTTGTCAGTCAACTCACAAACTAGTTACAGCAGAACCAGAAAAGGTGTGGACAAAAGTAACAAGATGATCAGGGAAAAGCTTTTGTGTAAGAAGACATCAAATAGATGAAGAGTCATCAGGCTGGGAGGGGGATAGGGACAGCTAAGGCAGGATATGAGAAAGCTCTGTAAAATTATGGGTCACTGAAAGCACCACTGAGGGGTCACTCATCCACCACTGGCAGGTCATGGGCAACAGGGTGGCATCCCTTCCCCACTGAAGGCATCAGGTGGAGAACTTAACACAAGCAAAAAAGAAAGTGGTCCCAGGTGCCACCCTCAAGAACAGTTACATGTTTTGCCATGGGAAATCGCAGAAGTCTAAGTACAAGCAGGTTAAAAATGGTACTAGACAAGTTCAGGATGGCCAGCTCCATCAGCACCTACCAGAAGAGTGACCCAGAAGTGACACCTGCTCAGAACATGTTACAGACACTGCGTGTTCATGCGCAGAGGGATGGTGCGTGGGCTGCCTTCCCTCACCTTCGCTGCTACCGCCCGCTGTCAGGGCCAGGGTCCTTTGTTAAATGAGTCTTTAAGAATTGCTACTTGGCATCCAGCCAGAGCCCTTACAGTCCAGAGGACACGTGCCTAAACTTGATGTATCAATTTAAGAATTACCAGGAGTGGAAAGTCAGCCAAAGCTTCAGTTAAAACCAAGACACTCAGTTCTAATTTCAGAGGTGCGACATCCAGCTCTCAGCCTTCAGAGACATGTCGCCGCATCAGTTTCCATTTGGGGCATACTTCAAATGTTTTTACAGGGTCAGCCATAACAACTAGAGGTTATTAAAAAATTTTTTAAAAATAATAAAAGAAAAATCACAGGGAGAGTCTCATCCCTGTCTATTAAACCAGTGATTTAGACCCTCTGGAAGAAAACAACACACCTATACCCCCAAATAAACAATTCATAACATTTTTTCTTAGAATTTTAGTACTACATGAACTGTAACATTCAAGTTCAACACAAAGTTACATCATCTTTATGCTCATGCTCAAAAATAGGCTTTGAATATACATGTTTAGAAGCAGGAAGTTAATTCAACTTAAGAGAACTTTCTCCTTTTTTAAGGAAGCATTTTTGGAAATACTGTTTAGTAAAATTCTAAATACATTCAACTTGCAATTATCTCAGATATCTGAGAGAGTACTAAGGTGACCTGAATAAAGCACAATAGATATTATGATGTCTTACATAAATTAGAGTGTAAATATGTTCACTTTCAGAAAAACTTGGAAGGCAGATTTCTATAAAAAGCAGCAACAGATTTAAACGCGGCTGCGGAAAGGAGCTCCAGTGAGCAGCCTGTACTCTGCATCACACAGCACTGACACAGCAGTGATGCTGGAGAAGGTCATTCCCAGTTAGACTACCACCCAGGGGATCCACATAAGGGTATCTAAAAGCTTACTGTAAAAGTCTAAATGCTCCCCAAATCAGCAAAAGGGAATTAAGACAAAATAATGCAATTTTGAGATAAAATAAACTTATTTGGTATAGGAAGAGTGTTAAAATATTTCTGGATATTTCACACTTGCAATTAACTGCAAACCAAAAGCAAAATGCAACTTCTCTCTCCATTAGTTTTGGTCCTGAGAAAAAGAACTGCTGAGGAGAAAAGTTTTAATAGCATCCCATCCTAGGTGTCAATGAGATTAGCTTCTACTTCCAGAGTGTTGCTCTGCTCAACTATTAAGAGTATGCTTTGATTGAAAAAGCTGTCATTTCTTTGTCAGAAAGTTAAATGCAGTATACAATAACCTCTCAGGAAACCTGTTATTTAATAACACAGTGCTTTTTATTTTGTTATCACTATTTTAAAAAAAAAAAAACAAACCCACAAGTTGGGTTTAGCAGCACATTAGCATTAAAGTGGAAAAGCTGACCTAACCATCAAACATATTCCCCATACATATATTCAGCCACAGGACACTAGTCAAAAACTGAAATGTGCTAAGATATGGAATGGCAGCTGATCTTTTTGAAAGAAAATTGTGTTATGTTTAGATAATGAGTCGTTCTACTGTGTGAGATGCACATAAAAATTGCTACTCATTTCTCACATCCTGAAAGACGCTGTTACCGATTTGTGAATATTTGGTTTCTAACATTTAAGTTCAATGTAACAATAGAAGGCTTATTTCTTACCTGTAATGCACGTGTGTAACTGTTGGTTGTCGGTAGCCAAGAATCCAAGTCTGGATGTCTAAAGGTTCACCTTTGGGATATGCAATGGTTGTATCTATCACCCACTGGAGGCCTTTTGATTTACTCTCTAGGAACAAAAAAATGTAATAGTAAATGTAATCAGAAAGCGCACATCACCTCAATGTGATAGTTATTCCATTTTTTTAATTACTGTGCCTAAAATATGAGGCACAAATAAAATAAGACAGCCAAAAATAAAATTCAGGATTTCATTACAGAGCATAAAAATACTCTTAAAAACTTCAGCTAGACCAAGATTTTATTTTCACCGTTATTTCTGTTCTTCTTACATACTGTAGTCCACAGAATAGAAACGAAGCTAATTCACTAGGTAGTCACATAACACATTAGCCCAAATGCTAGGTGCTTCCCCCCATTCACCAAAAGGAAAACTTCTGAAATAAAAATCCACCTTTCTTGGTCTGCACTTTAAGCATGTTTAAAACTGGGCCTTTGCAAAAGCTGGCAGTTGCAGATCACTGATGAAGCAATAGCCATGCAGATCACAGAATCACAGAATGTTGGGG